CTGCATGCTCATCGAACTGTGGCTGGTGCAACTTGGGACGTGGCTTGTGAGATTCCTCCGCACTGCAAGCACTGTATAAGTACCTAAGGTATTCTAGCCCTCCACGACCCATCCAAATCAGGCTAGACCCATCGCTCCCCCAGACGACGACAATCCATACAATACGACCAGGCACACGTCAACGTCACAACATTAGCCCGCTCGTTTCTCCCATCCTCTCGCCTTGCATTGCCGTCCCCCGTTGGTGCGGCTCCCGTGCCATAAAACCCCTAGGCAGCACTATTTCCACTTCCACTTCCACTTGTTTGGGGCCATATACCCTGGGTAATCTGATAGAACAATAAATAAATATCCCATCCACCCACCTCACCTCCCCACAACTCCTCCCGCCATCGCCCTCCCGCCGTTGCTCGCCCGCCCCCGATACCGCCATGTCCAATACCGACTTCCTCGGGCGGGCCATCGACACGGTCCGCCGCGCCATCGACGCCGACAATGGCAACCAGTACGAGAAGGCGTACCAGCTCTACTACCAGTCACTGGAGTTGTTCATGCTCGCCCTGAAATGGGAGAAGAACCCCAAGTCCAAGGAGATGATCCGTCAGAAGACGGGCGAGTACATGGACCGCGCCGAGAAGCTGAAGGCCCACCTCTCCGACGCGGATGCGAAGCGGAAGAAACCCGGCATGGTCGGCGCTAACGGCTCGTCCACCGGTGGCACCGCGAAGGGCAAGCAAGACGGCGAGGACGGTGCTATCGACGAAGATTCCAAGAAGCTGCGCAACGCCCTTGCCGGCGCCATTTTGCAGGACCGCCCGAATGTGAAGTGGGACGATGTCGCCGGCCTAGACGGCGCAAAAGAGGCGTTGAAGGAGGCCGTGCTATTACCCATCAAGTTCCCCCATCTCTTCACGGGCAAGCGGAAGCCGTGGAAGGGCATCCTGCTCTACGGCCCGCCGGGCACCGGTAAGAGCTATCTAGCCAAAGCTGTTGCTACCGAGGCCAAGAGCACGTTCTTCAGCGTGAGCAGTAGTGATTTGGTTAGTAAATGGATGGGTGAAAGTGAACGGTGAGTCCGGCCCCCCAGCCACCATCTGTCGCCGTGTAAAGCTCACTGGGACTATTACAGGTTAGTGAAACAGTTATTCGCTATGGCTCGTGAAAACAAGCCCTCGATTATCTTCATTGACGAAGTCGACGCTCTCTGTGGTCCCCGAGGCGAAGGCGAGTCGGAGGCGTCCCGCCGAATCAAGACCGAAATGCTAGTACAGATGGACGGTGTGGGGAAGGATTCGACAGGTGTGCTCGTGCTTGGCGCAACCAACATCCCCTGGCAACTAGACGCCGCCATCCGAAGACGTTTTCAACGCAGAGTCCACATCAGTTTACCCGACATGGGCGCAAGGACGACCATGTTTAAGATCGCTATCGGCGATACACCGACCACATTAAAGAGCGAAGATTACCGCGCACTAGCCGTGCTGGCCGAAGGTTACTCGGGTAGCGATATCGCCATTGCCGTACAAGACGCCTTGATGCAGCCCGTACGGAAAATTCAACAAGCGACACACTTCAAAGAGGTAAGGCCCGCCATACCCACAACGGCAACGAGAACGAGTACTAATATGAGCCACAAAATAGGTACAAGTGGACGGCGTAATAAAAGTCACACCATGCTCGCCAGGAGACCCGGGTGCAAAGGAAATGACATGGGACGACATAAACCCCGAAATGCTCCTTGAGCCCTTAGTCGACTTCAAAGATTTCGTCAAGGCCGTCAAGGCGTCACGCCCGACCGTCGCCGACGAAGACCTGAAGCGGAATTCCGAGTGGACCAAGGAGTTCGGCAGCGAGGGAAATTAGATGTTGGCTTATTCGCACCCACTTACTACATAAACGCATTTAACAACACCTTTACCATAACTTTGCACGAGACGCGGAACGAAGCACGATGGGATGTAAAGAGAGGCCGACGTGAAAATATGAGACATGCTCGCAAAGAGAAATAGGACAACAGCGGAGACGGGCATTACATTGGCGTTTGAGGCGTCGTTTCGGTGACTCATGGCCGACTAGGTTGGGGGTCCGAATCTACCTACCTACCTACCTAACTTCTTGATTGGCATGTATAATGCGATTCAAGTTATTGCTTTGGCACGATCAGTGCCTGCGGAATATCCCTCGCTATTCACTTGTCGAGCGTGTTGCACGCGGAGATGCCGACAAAAGCCAGCGGGGAGTCTGTTTGATGCGAAAGTTGTGTCGCGGTAATACCACATACCTACCAGCTCATTTTAGCTGCTACACTGTAGGCGCTGGACATTGTCCATTACCGGGATGTTGCGGAGCCTAAACGGATACAAGATTCGCATTCCGTACAAGAGCACAAAGTCAGGCAATTCATATCTGTGCGCAAATCCACAAAGTCCGAGAGCAAGAGCAAGGGGTAGAAAAACAAATGGGTAGATCCCAGATATGTATGTACACCAGACAGAGACAGACAGACACCAGCAAGAAAAGCAGCCCGATCCAAAACGCCCCGTACCCATGCGTGAGACATCGTGCCCGAGAGAGATCTGACAAGGCTAGATTCATCACGCCTCCGAGTGCCTCTTCTTTTTCTTCTTCTTCTTCTCGCCGTTGACCTCGGCGTCAACGCCCACCGTATCCCCAACCTCGCTGCGTCTACGCTTCTGGTCCTTTTTCTCTTTCTTCTCGTCCTTGTCCTTCTTGTCCTTTGACTATTTCTCTTTTTTAGGAGCAGGTGCAGTAATGGGAATTGGGGCGTCGATCATCTCGGTGTCGATGGCCATGGTCTCGTCCTCGGCTAATAGATCTGCTACAGCCTGGGCCTATTGGTGTGTTAGTGGGCAACGCAACGATATTTATTGGTAAACTCATCATGGCATCGGAGTTCTTCGTAGGTTTCTTGCCAGTAGCATAAAATTAATGTGGCTTGGGTTGTGGCTCATAACCCGTTGGAGCCAGGCATAATCCACGCATGCAAGTTCCTTTCGCTGCCATGATCGATTCACAGCCTTAAGTAGATAGACCGGCTCATTCAGTGCCTGCAATATCTGCGTCCCGGATGATATCACGAAGAACTTATGGTGGCCATGGCTGACCCTTCAACCGTGTCAGCTGGCCTCCTTGGTCTCCTTGCAACAGGAGCCAAGATCTCCCCAGTTCCGGCACAAGTCATCAGCAAGACTCGGCATGCGCCTGGAGAATGTCGCAATATCCAGACCGAAGTCGAACACATTCAAGCCATTCTCAGTCATCTGCAGCTCTTCATTCTAGGCACTCGAAGGGCACCCAAATCCCGAATAAAGAGAGAACTGATAACGCTTGCTCACGGCGATGCAACGTCATGAAACCGCGTTTCTCATTGAAGAAAGCTCATCTTAATATGTACAAGTATAAGACACATAGTGGCTACAAGGTAACGTTATATACAGGACGGGGAATAGGAGGCGCGCACGGCAAGACAGATATCACCAGCATCGCAACCAAGTACATCTAGCAGTAAACAACCCAGTTATCAAGCGCGTAATGCTTCACAATGCTCGAGAACCCAGATTGGCCGCCGGCGGCGCACGCCTTGGCCAGCTTGGAGGAGCTGACGCTGGTCGCGTCGTCGTCGTCGGTGTACTCGACGTGGAAGACGGGCTTACCGGCCTTCACGAAGGGGGCCCAGTCGGCACATTCGCTGTACTCTGCGCACTCCTCGTTGATGGCCCACTCAGCAACACCGACAACGCGGTCGACGATGGCGCCCGAGTTCTTCAGCCCGTAGGCCAGCCCGGCCGCGTGCGCCGTCTCGGCCAGGTACTGCACATAGTCGACCGTGTCGTCCTCGGTGAGGTCGAAGCCCGAGTCGTTCGCGTACCCGTCGATGTTGTCCGGGTCGACGCCCACACAGCCCTTGTCGGCCGCGCTCCGGATACGCGTCGCCATGATCTCGCGCACCTCGGCGTTGCGGTGGTCGACCCACTTCTCGTCTGGCCAGCCGTCGAGCGTATTGCCGACGGCCGACGCCGGGAACTCGCCCGCGTCCTCGCGGTAGTCCTCTACGCTGCCGGCGCTGAAGTAGCAGACGATAGTGTGCCCAGCACTCTTGAGTGCCCCGATAGTATTGGCCGACGTGTTCTCCAGGTCCACGGGGTAGAAGGCGGTGCTCTTATTGGCGTTGGCAGTCGTCAGGGAAAACCCCAGGGGGTAGTCCCAGGTTGTGCCGACCGTTGGCTGGATGACGGCCGCTTTGCTGGAGGGGGTTGCGGTTGCGGTTGCAGTTGCGGTTGAGGACTTCTGAGCCGGGCAGGCCCGTGTGAGACCGATGCCGAGCCCGAGCCCGAGCCCGAGTGTGAGTGAGACTACGCCAACCATAGCGACTATGACGATGGTCCTTTTGCGCGTGAGAAAACGCTGTCGCCAAGATGAGGGAGCGGCTAGGTTGTTGATTTGGTCAGCAGCCCCTTTGACGTGCGATACTGGCTCCTTTTGAATGCGACTGTAGTCTCGTTGTGTGACATGATCCTCTTCTTGGGCGCCAGGGATCCTCGGCATTACCGCGCGATCCTTTCATTAAGGCTTGAAAGCCGCAGCGAAAGCTCGCCCCCTGATTGTTTCCAAAACATGACCGAGAAACATTTTTGTCAAAAACAGAAGCTCGATGGAAGGCTTGCACATGGGTTGCCTGAAACACGGTATTCGAACAAGCCTAGCGCGTGTCTTTTGGACTACGCATAACTCCACTCGTACTTTGAATCACTCCATTGTGGATATCCAGGCTTATTTGCATAGTAGTAGACCATAAATAACCTTAAGCATTTCCCTTTTCACCCCTGCCCTCATTATGTAATACTACGCCAAAGCATCCGCCCCCAGCTGGCTTAATTAGTGGATATACGGCACCGCACAACCACCAACGAACCAAATCGCCCAGTTAGTTTAATCGGTAGCATGACAAACGAAATTTCCCGCAGACAACCTACAACGACGCCCGGTTAGCTCAATCGGTAGAGCGTGAGACTCTTAATCTCAAGGTTGCGGGTGAGTACATATACCCAGACATGGATGAGTCTGATAAAAATACTGACAACCTTGACTAGGTTCGACCCCCGCATCGGGCTCAATTCCTGATGCTTCCCAGTCCACTGGGAAAAGCAGCCAATTTTTTTTCTTTTTCTTTTTTCGTGTTTTTCCAGTCGCAAGGTTGAGGACGAGCACGGTAGATACCTCGATCCCGACAGAGAACAGCATAAAGTACTTTTTAGGCCTTTGCTGCGCAACAAGAGATTAGTAAGCCGGTGGTTTACAGAATTCTACTCTGCAAATGCTTGTCTATGTTAACTTAGACCTCGCGTATTGGCACTTTCAATTAAAACTAACAGCCGCCCCTGTTCTAACAAAATTGAGCCCCGTGTTACGTAGTATACCGTAACGGCCTGAAGGAGATTATCTAATCGATGGAGGCATGTAAAAGAACCACCCAGCACGAGCACGGGGAGGCCGGATGCTAGCGAGGAACATAGGTACTAATGCCACGTACGAGCTGATTCTAGTACTATTAAACATAGTGAATAGATAGGTGTTTAATACTCTGCATCTGCTACTTACCGTATGTGCCATCTAGTATACCCAGTCCATCACCCTCGAAGATCGTGCTCACAGCGTTTCTTATTCCGTGAGAAAGGTTTAGAGAACGAGTTCAGGCTCAAACGTGTTTTTAGTAAGTGACCCTAAGTATTGTATTCCATAACCTCGGTGCCAGGGAGATTCTCCTTTCCATGGTATTCATTCTAGCATACGGTTCCGCCCGGCAATCACCCGCCAACTTCGCAAATGCTTAGCCCCGTCACATTTGACTCTCACCCTTAACTATGCATGGGTTTATTGTCGACAGGTTACAGCCCAAGATATGGGTAATCCTCCAAAGAAGATATACCGGGCTTTCTTGAGGGCATGTTTGACCAGGACGAGAGAGGCGTCGGTTATAAGGGAAATATAATAGAACGTATGGGGCCACTGAGTAAGTCAGCAGGGGGGGTCACGGGCCATACCCTTACGGGCCACTTCGCCCACCAACTACACCTACTTAAATAAAGCTGTAAATATTAACAAAATCGATCGTAACTACTAGTTTTTGGTGTTTTTTACTATAATATAGTCTTTTAGCTCCGTTTTGTTTTTTTGCTGGGCCGTTATAGCCTTTTTTTAGGCTGTAGCACCTAGCAATTATTTGCTTCGTTTTTATATATAACTTATAATTTTAACCTTTTTTTTACTTTATATATATTAGTTATTTATATTAATTGTTTGCTTAGCGTAAGTTTTACGCTTTGTTAATAATTTTGTTTTTTTTTAGCTAATTTAGCTTTAAAATAGCTAATTTTAGCTTTTAAAACTATAATTTTATTAGTTTAATAGTTTAAAGCTTTTTTTATTTTTTATGCTAATAATTTATATAAAAAGTTATTTAAAGCAAAAATATTAATAATTAGTTTTAGTAAATACGCTAGATATTTTAACTGTTTAAAAACGTTTTTATTTATATTTAAACTATTTTTGCAATAAAATTTAATATTTTAAGCCTATTTTTTACTAGAAATACTTTTAGCTATATTTAAGCTATATTTAAGCTATATTTTTTTTAATATAATATATTTTAATAATAATAACTTTATATAATTTTACGGATAAATTTTTAATGTTTTTTAAATATTTTTAACTACTTTAAGTATTAAAATAAACTTTTTAGCTAAATAGTATATTTTAATTAATTTTTTTTTAATAAGTTTAAGTCCTAAAATAGCGCTAGGCCTTTTTTTTAATATTTTTTAAGCTTTTTTTAAAAAAAACTAAAAAGTTTTATATTTACTAATTATATTACGTAGCTATAATAAAGCTTATAAAATATTAGCTATATTTTATTTAATAAATAAACTAGCAAAAATTTATTATTTATATATAAATTATAACTATTATATATTAAAACTACTTATATATTATTATATTAAGCTCGAATATATAAAATAAATATAGCTTTAAGCTATTTTATTACGATTTTTATTTTTGTTTAGCTTTTAAACAATATTTTAAACTATTAGTTATTTTATAAGCTAAAATTTTTATAAAAAAACTATTAATTTTAAACTTTAATATTTTTAAAAATAATTAGCAGCAAAAGTATATTTTTATTAGTATATATATATTTTAATATAATAATTTATTTATTTTATTTAACGGCTTTTTTAAAAGCTATATAAGTCCTAGCTTTATAAACTACGTAGTAATTATTATTTATGCTTTAAGCTATACTTATTTTATTAATATTATAAAAACAATCAGTAAAAATATTAATAATTTTTAAAGCATTAAATTTATTAAAAAAAAAGTTAATATTAGCAGTAATTATACTATTAATTCGTAAATAGCTAATAGTTTTAAATTTTATAGCTTTTATAAATAAATTTTGCTTAAAAAAACCGTAGTATTAAACCTTTTTAAGCTATAAATTATTTTTATATATATTTAATATATATTAAGCTATATAATAAAACTTAATAAAAAAAAGTACGAAGCTTAAACGTACTTAATTAATTGTTTAAATAGCTAACTAGCTTTTAAAAAAAAAATAAAGCTTAAAAGTTTTAATTTTTTTTTTTTTTAGTAAGTACGCTAGCAAAGCGGCGTTATAAATATAACTGCGGTATATTTTATTTTTTAGCCGCTGCGTGGACGTTTATTCCAAGCTTTATATTACGTATCGCTACAACAGCACGGGTTTTTTAAAGGTTTAAAGGTATAAAGATAAAAAAAAAGAAAAAAAAATCGAATAAATATAAAAAGAAAATAGTAAGTATAAAATTGGCTAAGGAATTAAGCAGTTTTTTATACGCGTTGTTGCGTAATTGGGTAGTTAGGAAGTGGCCCGTGAGGGTATGGCCCGTGACCCCCCCTGCTGACTTATAATGGATGTTCTCATGAATTGCTACTTGGATAACATGGGCAGTGTCCATATGTGCTTTTATAAGCTGGCCACTTAGTTTGATAAGTAATGTCGTCATTCAGCGAAACGTGGCAAGCATTAGCATGTATTGTGTCACACAGACCCGATAGACTGGTTCCGATCTGCATATTATGTATATAATCGTATGAGCGGGAGACCGCGTTGAGGCTTCTACCCGCGTTTGCCTGATCAAACATATGACCTAGCCGAGACCTGGATGCGAAATGGGTCGGCGATTCCGGTCGGTAACTATACGCGAGGCTATTCGGACATAAAGACCCTAGATCTCCCAGCTGGCTGGAGAGGGGACAAGACCTTCATGGCTCCCCTTGACGCCCTAGATGATTATTACAATTTGAAGACCATTCCAAGCCCTTGTTACAATTGCCAAGGATGTAAGGCTAGAGTGTTTGGTTGCATAGATATACTTTGGCCTAAATTGTCGATTAGATTGATCTGATATATACTCTGTAATGCGGTAATTAGCCCTTAGCTTTACTAAAGGATAATAAAGCTAGAATTTTGATGGCGAATACACTAACATCAAATATCGGTGCTCTCGTAACAACCCAGCCATCCCAATAAAAAGTCTCGACTTCATTAATAATGAAAAAGGCGAAATGTGGCACAGATTGCTTATATGAAGGTGTGAATACTCCGTATAATATGGACCAAATAGTTATAACTGAAGGGGTCTGGATGCAGTGTCGAGGTGCTGTCGACGTTCATGGTTGTAATGGCTATAAACGTCAAGACCAAAGATAGGAAAGACTTAGGGGCCAACAGTGGAAGCGAAGGATAGGTACGGCGAGAGGAAGAGTGTTGGGAGTTCATAGTTTGGCATAAATTTTACGTCTACTTGCAGCGACAGGAAACTATATACACGTCTTCAGTAACAGAAAGGGGATTGGGAAACTTCTCGCATGAGTTTAATGCACCACCTAATTTGCAGGCCGTGGTAAAAATTAAGACGAAGGTATCAATTCTCTGACGCCGAACCCCGGCATCCCAGGAGGCATCCGTTGATATCCCGTATATTTCATAGCTTTAGTTGATAATTTTTACTAGTTACCATCCTCACCATCGCCGCCCTTTCCAGCCGATCTTTGCCTCTGTTTATAAACCGATTCTCCTGTGTATCCTTCGTCTTATACCGTAAAAGCTTTCCCTGAAGGCCACAATACCTGCCGGTTTAATTCATGAGTCATACTTCCACCCCAACCACCATATTTCTACCCCGTGTTGGTGAATTATCCTACACCGAGCTGACCGCTGCCCAAACCAAGCCAACTCATGTGATCGTTCACGGTGGGTGGCACGTTCCTGATACCTATGCATAACTTACCCATTGCTCTTGAGGCTGAGGGTTACGAGGTCCACATCCCTCGCCTCCCATCTTCTAACTAAGTGCGCTACGCTTATACCAATCTAAAAACCGACATGCCCTCGTGCGTAGCTACGTAAAGAGCCTTGTACGAGCCGGACATGACGTTGTTGCTATCGTACACTCCTACGGCGGTCACGTTTGCTCTAACTCCTTGTACAGCCTAGGAGTTGAGACCCGCATCGCGTAGGGCTTAAAGAGGAAGTGTCTCACTTGATTTACCTGACTGCTACGCTATCTCGGAGGGAAATTTTATGATAGAGCGGATGAATTTGGAAAAATGGATCTCATGCCTGTTGCTTTCGATGTCGCTGAAGATAATGCCTGCCTACACCACGACCAAAAGGCGCGTGTTGGCTCTGGACCTGATGATGCGGATGTCGACAAGTACCTTGCGACATTTGTCCGTTGGGACGGCTAATACATGTATTAGGCAACTGAACATGCTACGTGGCGCGAGGTTTCAGCATCTCTTATTTACACAACTGCGGATATAACCGTTCCATCTAACTGCCAGAAGAACTTCGTCGAAGGACTCGAGAAGGGTAGCCGCAAGTTACAAACGTTTAAGCTCCCAACTGGTCATTGCCCCAACTTCACTGCTATTGAAGGTGATGCAGCCACCAAGATTACTACTGTTTAAGTCAGTTAGAAGAGGTCAATATTAGACGTAGAATAATACTGTCTTGCTATATTCTGTCCTAGTAGTCAATCGATTTTAAAACTAGTAATCCTCC